TTATCCATGTATTCTTCAAACATGAGGTATCCAGTCATATCACATCTGACTGTGGCTCCAAATTTATCTCTCAATTTACTTGTGCCTTAGCCATAACTCTTGACATGAAACTCCACCTTATCTCTGGTTATCATCTGGAGGCCAACAGACAAACTGAATGAGCAAACTAAACTCTGGAACAATATATCCACATCTACTGCTCCTATCAACAGGACAACTGAGACATTCTCCTACCCATTGCTGAATTTGCCTACAACAACACCTCTAATGCATCCACTAGAATTTCCCCATTTTTTGCTAACAAGGATTACCACTCCAACATCACTGTTCACTCTGAAATGGACATCACCTCTGCCCAGGCCTGATACTTCAGTTGATCTGGATGAACTCCATCAATTACTGAAGAATGAAATTTTTGAAGCTCAGTCTTGCTATAAGATCCAAGCAGATAAGCATCAGATCCTGACACCTCCATTCACAGTGGGGGACAAGGTCTACCTCAGCTCCAAACATATCAAAACCACCTGTCTGACCAGAAAATTTTTGGAGAAATACCTTGGCCCTTTTGAAATCATAGCCCAATCTGGTACCCACTCTTTTACTCTGAGGCTTCTATCAGATCTTCAGTCCATTCACCCCATCTTCAATGTGTTACAATTGGAACCCATAGAAGAAAACACCATTTCTAACCAAATCCAACCACTACCACCTCTAGTTGAAGTCAATGAAGAAGAACATTTTGAAATAGCTCAAATCCTCAACTCTAAACTGGACCACTGGTTCCACTGTCCACTGCCCACTGCTATACAAAATCCAGTGGCTAGACTATAAAGGTACTAATGAAGAGTTTCCTTGGTTACCAGCCTCTAAGTTCTCCACTGATAAATTTATTAAAGAATTCCACCATCAATATCCAGACAAACCAGGACCCTTATCCAAAGTCACTCAATCATTCCATTCTTGATACAAGACTACTCCAGATGCCACCAGAGCCTCACTCTACTATTTCAATTCTACCAACCAAATACCATTTCAATCACCTCTTTTACACTTTCATAAGTCAAAAACTTATATCTACATTTTTTTTCTTCTCCACTATCAACATCCAATGCCTTTTCTATATACATTTCATACAAAAGCTCTACAAGGAAGCAGAATCCAACAGACCTGCATCAGAACCAGAACTCTCCCCCTACCTCTTCAACTCCTCTATATCCTCATCTAGTCCCTTCAACATTGCCTCCCACAGATCTTCCACCTCCTGATTCTTCTCATCTCTGAAAAGCAGACAAGCTTTCTTTCAGACCTCCAACTCAGACTCTGAAAACAACTCCAAAGAAGACAATATATCATCTGACCCATAATCATCCTGAAAACCTGTTACAGTACCACAACTATCTGCCACCTCATCTGCCAACTCATCCACATGATGCATCAACTTGTGTATTAACTTCAAAAGCTGGTGGAGACTGGTGGAGACCTCCACACTGCTGATCACCTCACTCACAGTGATGCTCTTGTTGAACAAACAGGCAGTTTTCTTGATCTTGCAGTGAGAGCAAGTCTGCCTTCGACTAGTGCCTTCAGTTACCAGTCATGTATAACATTGTGCACCATCTTGACAACAGCACACACAACTCTCTGAAACCAAAAGCTAAGTTAAGCCATGAAAGAAAACTAAGACACTTACTTTCACCATCCAATAATTCTTTGCCCTTTGCTGGTCCTGCCACTTCCAACTTCACCTGCTTTTTGGGGCTAATGATCACCTCTATCCCACTGTCATCCACTATGCTCCTCAACCTGAACTTGTGTTTATAGCTCTTCTCTGTCAGATCTGCTGTCCTCCTCTTCCTCTTCTGCACTCTCTTCCTCCTCTCCAGAGTCCCCTCAGATTCCTCAGACTCATCATCCCCCTCAGTCCCCTTCATCTGCTCATTATTGGACTCCAGAGGCATATAGTGAGTCACCTTCTTGAAGCAAAGACCAGGGCCAGGACTATACCATTCTGCCAACACTTGATGCAGCTAGAAATCAACAGCCTCTGCAGAGGTCATTTGCAACCCATCCTCTATAACCATCCCCTCCAGCTCTACCTTCTCAGCCTCAGCCCTCACTGCTACCTTCATGGTCTCTCTCTCTTCAGCCTCCCTCCAAGCCACCTCTCTCAATGCCTCCTCTGTCTCCTTAGCCTGCCTCTCCATGGCTTGCTGAACCTCCTCCCTCTTCCTCTCTAATTCCTCCTTCTGCTCCTTTTTCTACATCTTCCAGGCTACATGGTCTGCCCAGACCTTTTCCTCCTGCTCTTGCTCCCTTTGCTATTCCAAATGACTCTTTATGGCCTTTGCATATTCTTCTTCCACAGTCTTCCATTCTAAATAAAACAATTTCTTGGCCTCTTCAGAGCCATTGGGGGTGGATCCCCTCACCAGAGGCTTGAGAGTGCATGAGCAACAATATATAGCGAGCAACAATATAGGCAATGATGGTAGTTTCAGATCAAGATACAAAACTCCCATAGCCATCAACAATCTTCCATGTGGCCCCATCAGCCATCAGGATCTGTGCTCTTGAGGGCAAGAGTGCTAAGGGGGAAATACTGTTACACACATGCCACTAGCCTCTATGTCACCTCAATCAACCACAAATCCAATCATGCTACCCACTGGACTCTAGCTGCTTCCTATTACCTACTAATTTCATTTCATCATTATCATTTTACATCCATATTTCACATTGTAATATCTAGACCTCAAACTCGGTAGCAAATACTGACACTGAAACCCACTGGAATCCAACTCAGAATTAGCTACTATTAGTATATAAAGCCATGTATATCACTATAATGACTCAGTTTAAATATCAACTTGGATAAGCTATCTACACTTTGCACTCACTTCAACTCCTTCCTACCACATCTATCAGATTCTGCTCTAAAGGATATTCCTGTTCACTTCTCTGATGGAGCTCTGTTCTGTCCACCCAGATCCTTGAGCTTCAACTCAAGAGTGACATTGCCAATAGCTTCATCGATGCCCACACACTCTGTCAGACTCCATGTGTGCACTCAAGCCCACTCGATTGGCACATTCCTAACATCCACTCATGACACCATTAACTTCATGGAGCTCATCCAACTTTTCCTTATCCATATATTCTCTAAACATGAAGTACCTAGTCACATCACATCTGACCACAGCTCTGAATTCATCTCCCAATTTACTTGCATCTTAGCCATAGCTCTTAACATAGAACTCCACCTTACCTCTGGTTATCATCCAAAGGCCAACAGACAAACTGAACAAGCAAACCAAACTCTGAAACAATACATCTATATCTACTGCTTCTATCAGCAGGACAACTGGGACACCCTCTTACTCATTGCTGAATTTGCCTACAATAATGCCTCTAACACATCCACTAGAATTTCCTCATTTTTTGCTAACAAGAGTTACCACTCCAACATCACTGTTTATCCTGAAAGAGACATCACCTCTATCTGGGTCTGAGATTTCACAGTCAACCTTGATGAACTTCATCAATTACTGAAGGATGAAATTTCTAAAGCTCAGTCTCACTACAAGACCCAAGCAGACAAGCACCAGATTCCAGCACCCCTATTTATAGTAGATGACAAAGTCTACCTCAGTTCCAAACATATCAAAACCACCTGCCTGACTAAAAAATTTTTGGAAAAATACCTTGGTTCTTTTAAAGTCATAGTCCAACCTGATACCCACTTCTTTACTCTGAGGCTTCTGTCAGATCTTCAGTCCATTCACCTCATCTTCCATATGTCACAATTAGAACCCATAGAAGAAAACACCATTTCTAACCGAATCCAACCACCATCACCTTCAGTTGAAGTCAATAGAGAAGAACATTTTGAAATAGCCCAAATCCTCAACTCTAAACTGGACTACCAGTTCTGCTGCCCACTGCTGTACAAAATCTAGTGGCTAGAATATGAAGATACCAATGAAGAATTTGCTTAGTTACCAGCCTCCGAGTTCTTCGCCAATGAATTCATTGAAGAATTCCACCACTGATACTCAGACAAACCAGGACTCTTGTCTAAAGTCATTCAAACATTCCATTCCTAATACAATGCTACTCTGGACACCATTAGCATCCCACCTTACCATTTCAATTCTAAACCACTAATTACTACTATTTCAATCACTTCTTTTACACTTTCAAAATCAAAATCTTGTATTCACATTTTTTTTCTCCACTACCAACATCCAACACTCTTTTCTATATATATTTCATACAAAATATTTTACAAAAAAGCAGAATCTAACAGGCTCACACTGGAACCTGAACTCTCCCTCTGCTCCTTCAACTCCTCTATATCCTTGTCCAGCCCCTTCAATATTGCCTCCTGAAGATCCTCCACCTCCTGATCCCTCTCATCCTTAAAAATCAGTTGAGCCTTCTTTCAGGCCTCCACCTTGGACTCCAAAAACAGCTCTGAAGGAGATGACATATCATTGGAACTGTAGTCATCTTGAAGACCTGCCACAGTACCATGAACATCTGCCACCTCATCCACCAACTCATCTATGCAATGCATCAACTTGCATATCAATTTTGAAAGTTGGTGAAGACCAGTGGAGACCTCCACACTACTGATCACCTCACTCACAGTGATGCTCTTGTTGAATGAACAGGCAGTTTTCTTGATCTTGCAGTGAAAGCAAGTCTGCCCTTGACTGGTGCCTTTGGTTACCAGTCATGCATAACACTGTGCACCATCTTGATGATAATACACACAACTCCCTGAAAACAAAAGCTAAGTTAAGCCATGAAAGAAAACCAAGACACTTACTTTCACCATCCAACAATTCTTTGCCCTTTGCTGATCCTGCTACTTTCAACTTTGCCTGCTTTTTGGGGCTAACAACCACCTCTATCCCACTGCCATCCACTATGCTTCTCGATCTGAACTTGTGTTTATAGCCCTTCTCTGCTGGATCTGCTGCCCTTCTCTTTCCTTTCTACACTCTCTTCCTCCTCTCCAGAGTCCCCTCAGATTCCTCAGACTCATCATCCCCCTCAGTCTCCTTGTCCTGCTCATCATCAGACTCTGGAGGTGCATGGCAAGTCACCTTCTTGAAGTGAAGACCAGGGCCAGAACCAAACCATTCTGCCAACACTTGATGCAGCCAGAAATCAACAGCCTCTGCAGAGGTCATTTGCAACCCATCCTCCATAACCATCTGCTCCAACTCTACCTCCTCAGCCTCAACTCTTGCTGCTGCCTCTATGGCCTCTCTCTCCTCAGCTTCCCTCTGAGCCACCTCTCTCAATGCCTCCTCTGCCTCTTTCATCCACCTCTTCACAGCCTGCCAAACCTCCTCCTTCTTCCTCTCCAATTCCTTCCTCTGCTTCTTTTTCCATGACTCCTGAGCCACATGGTCTGCTCAAGCCCTTTCCTTCCACTTCCACTCTCTTTGCCATTCCAAATGGCTCTCCACAGCCTCTGCATATTCTTTCTCCATGATTCACCATTCCAGACAAAATAATTCCTTAGCCTCTTCAGGGTTATCAGGGGTGGATCCTCTCACCAGAGGCTCAGGAGTGTGTGAGTGATGACATAAGCAAAGATAGTGGTTTCAGTTCAAGCTGCAAAACTCCCATGACCATCAACAATCTTCCATGTGGCTCCACTGGCCATTGGGATCTGCACTCTTGAGGGTAAAAACACTAAGGGGGAGATACTGTTACATGCATGCCACTGGCCTCCATGTCACCTCAACCAACCATAAATCCAATCATGCTATCCACTGAACTCTAGCTGCTTCCTATTACCTACTAATTTCATTTCACCATTATCATTTCACATCTGTATTTCACATTGTAATATCTAGACCCCAAACTCGGTAGTGAATACTGACACTGAAACCCACTGGAATCCAACTCAGAATTAGCTACTATTAGTATATAAAGCTATGTACATCATCATAACTACTCAGTTTGAATATCAACTTGGATAAGCCATCTACACTTTGCACTCACTCAACTCCTCTCTACCTTGTCTGTCAGATTCTGCTCTGAAGGATATTCTGGTTCACTTTTCTGATGGAACTCCATTCTGTCCATCTAGATCCTTGGGCTCTAACTCAAGGGTGATATTGCCAATAGCTTCATCAACACCCATGCACTCTGCCATACTCTGCACATGCACTCAAGCTCACTCAATTGGCATGTTCTTAACAGAAAGAAGACTAAGATTAAAGAGATAAAAGACAGGGCTGACCAGTAAATAGTCCTACTGAACTGGCCAAACAGAACAGTATGTCAAATATAGCCACAGGATGGACTAATAATACCTTTGTAGATACAAACATATCTAAATTATATATGCATTTGAATATACCCTTTTCTCTGACTACTGCACACACACCAAAGAGACCATCCACTGAAAAAACTCAACTGCCTACAGGCTGAACAGAAGGAGAGACCTCCACTAAATGACTCAAGCCATTTAATACCAAATAGACTTGGAGAGCCATTAGAGATGCCAGAACAGAAGAAGAGGCTAAAGCTGTACTCAAAAATTGAGCACATAAAATCTGGGCTGAAGAAGTAATTGATGAAATGATTGAAGAAATGTGATAGGCAGAGTGATGTTGGGCTCTTAAATGGCTTGATGAACTCCATGGACCTCAAAAATATATCTGACAAATAAAGACCCCAGAAAGAGACTTAACAATCAGAGCCCAAATTGAAATACTTACAAACTACTCAATATATATGGTGACTGCTCTGATCAATAGTGGCTGCACTAGCAGCTCAATTAACTGAGCCTTTATTGAAAAACATCATCTTCCCACCAGAGTCATGGCTGCCTCTATCTCAGTTTACAATGCAGATGGAACCAAAAACTAAGCCAGTTCAATCACCAAGTTTATCAAAATATAACTCACTATTAGCAATCACTCAGAAAGGATCAACTTAGCCATCACTGACTTGAGAACCAAGAAAGTGTCTTTGAGCCATGATTGGCTTATCTGACATAATCTGTTTGTCAATTAGAAAATCAGACAAATCATTTTTACAGTGTAAATATTGAAAAACCCCTTTCAAACTTCCTGATGAAGATCCTGAGAATCAATAGAATGAAGAGATAGAGAAAGGTGAAACTATACTCACTATTGATATCCAGCAGATGCTGCATGCTTGGGTGGTGCATTATGCCAATGACTTGGTGGCTAAAACCAATACTGAAAAGGAGGAAAAAACATTTGAGAAAATAGTCCCAGAATAGGCTCAGGATTATTGTGATCTGTTCAACAAAGAAAGTTTCAACAAGTTGCCAGAACTCAAACTCTGGGATCATGCAATTGAGCTGATCTCCAATGCTAATGCCAACCTCAATTGCAAAACTTATTCCCTCAGCAATCAGAAACAACAGAAACTTGATCATTTTCTAAAAAAAAATCTCTCCAGCAGATAGATTCAACCATCAAAGTCTCTGGTGGTCTCACCATTCTTCTTTGTCAAAAAGGAGAATGGCAAACTCTAACTAGTACAAAACTATAGAAAACTGAATGAGATGATGATCAAAAACTATTATCCACTTCTGTTAATCTCTGAGTTGATGGACAAGCTACAAGAGGTGAAATATTACACTAAGCTGAATGTTAGGTGGGAGTACAACAACATACAAATCAGAAAAGGTGATGAATGGAAAGCAGCATTCTGAACCAACTAGAGACTGTTCAAGCTTATAGTAATGTTTTTTAGGCTCACTAACTCTTCTGCCACCTTCTAATGGATAATGAATGATATTTTTAAGAACCTCATCACCACTGAAAAGGTGACAATATATTTGGATGACATACTCATCATGTCCAGAAACCAGAAGGAGCACTGGTGATTGATTTGACAGGTTCTTGAACTGATGAGAAAATATAAACTTTTTCTTAAAGCTGAGAAATACAAATTTAAAGTCCTAAAGACAGAGTACTTAGGAGTCATTATCAGTAAAGGAAATATCCAGATAGACCCTATTAAAGTAGCTGAGATAACTGAGTGGCTGACCTTAATGAAAAAAAAAAAACTTCAATCCTTTCTGGAGTTCACCAACTTTTACTGGCAATTCATTCAGGACTACAGCAAGATTGTATGACTGATGACTCAACTAACTGGCAACACCTCATGAAATTGGGGACCTTTCCAACAGGCTGCATTCAATGATCTAAAATAATATTTCACCAAAGATGTTATCCTTGCTATCTTAATATAGGAGGAGAAGTTCTGAGTCAAGGCCAACTCAAATGAGGAGGTCATAGGTGCTATACTTTCTCAGAAACAAGATGAGAGGTGGCAGCTGGTGGCCTTCCTCTCTAAAGCCCTCATAATAACTGAATGAAACTATGAAATATATGACAAGAAACTACTTGCAATAATACTCATCCTGGAGAAATGGCATTATTATCTGATTGGCATCATCCAGACCTTCAAAGTCTGGACAGATCATTAAAACCTCTGATATTTCCATTCCTCTCAAAAGCTTAATCACTGACAGACCTGGTGGATCACTAAACTCTCTCAATACAAGTACACACTACACTATAAGGTCAGGACAGCCAATAAAAAGGCTGATCTGCTCAGTTGACAGGCAGACCATGACTAAGGAAGTAGCAACAATAAGAGAGTGATATTACTGAAGCTCAAACACTTCCAAGTGATGATAATGCCAATAGAGGAGGAGATCTATGAAAAGATCAAGAGTGCAACAAGAGACAATCACAAATGAGACCAATATATAGCCTTATCACTTAACCATGAGTGTGAAATGACAAAGGAGAAAGGATTGATCTGCTATGATAGATGGATCTATATCTCACAAGACCAACAACTTTGTGGTGAAATCATCACTATGTGCTATGACCATATGACTGCAGGCCATCTGGGGATCACAAAACCAAAGAGTTGGTGTTGCAGAAATACTGGTGGCTGAAGATGGGCTAAGACATTGAATGATACATAAAGAGATGTGAAATCTGCTAGTAGAGAAAGACTTCCACACAACTATAAGTGACACCACTTCATCCAAATGAGGTTCCACAGCCACCATGAACTCACATCTTGGTAGATATGGTTACTGGATTACCTGACTGCAATGGCTATAACATGATCATTATTATTGTAGATCAGTTCTCAGAAGTGATCATCCTGATCACATGTTTGACCAAATTGATATTAGAAGAGTGAGCAAAAATTTTATGCAATAAAGTGTATGCCAAGTACAGCATGCCCCAGGTTGTGATCTTCAATTGAGGACCACAATTTGTGTCAAAGTTCCTAGATGATCTCTATTGCCTTCTTAATATTCAGCAAAATGCTTTGATGGTATATTGCCTACAGACAGATGGACAAATGGAGAGAATAAACCAGAAGATTGAGAAATATCTTCAGATATTTATCAACTACTGATAAGATGACTGAGTTGAATGGCTTGCTCTCACTGTCTTTCAATATAACAACAGAGTCTATTCTGCCACTGAGAAGATGCTATTTTTCATCAACTTCAGATGTCACCCCAACATATCACACATAGAATGAGCAGCCACCTCTACACCCATCTCTCATGATTTCACACAAGAGATGTCCAAAATCCATACTGAAACATGAGTTGCCCTAAAGAAAGCAGCAGCTTCTATAAAGAAATAATATAATAAACACTGCAATCTCACACACACATATAACATTAGTGACAAAGTCTGATTGGATATCTTCAACCTTTATCTCTCTCAACCTAAACAGAAGCTCTCTGACAAATGCACTAGCCCTCTCTCTGTCCTTGCTAAAGTTAGCAACTCTGCATACAAGCTGTGACTTCTAGTCAACTGGAAGATTCACAATGTTTTTAATAAATCTCTTCTTTTCTCATATATTGCTCTAGCATTCCTGAATCAGGAGTGTCCTCTACCTCCACCACTGGACCTCATCAACAATAAGAAACACTATAAAGTTAAACAAGTATTAAACTATAAATTACACAAGGTTAAAGCTAAAGAGGGAGGGATTATAACAACAGTGGATTATTTGATCAGCTGAAAAAGCTATAGCCCAGAATCTAATCAATAGATAAATGAAAAATGGATGAATGCTAATGAAGCCATATACAATTATGAATTATCTCTAAATTAAGCCATCAGGATGATGATCTTAAGGAAAGGGTAATATTATGATTTTTCCTATTTTCTTCATATTTAACCCCTATTTGTGCTTAGTCAGAGTGCTTAGGCCAGTGCTTAGGATTATGGGACAGGCTTAGTCATCACAATAAGCTAATCCATCATTATCCTCTGATATAGCAATAAACTTTCAATAATATATAATGACTTTTTGTAGATAATAGTGATGCTTAAGGACAATAGGCACAAAGACCTGGACAAGTACAATAGATAGTAGTATATAAGTAGATAAGCTCTCACTAGTATAACTCCAGCTTTGAGCTAAAGTTTGTTTATACTACTTCACTCTCAAGCCAACTTGTAAAGGCCTTGAAGTATATTAGTCAACAGATACATACAAGTAGACTCTGATGTGACTGTATAAACACAATACAGCATCAGTTTACCATGTGATCTGATCATATATGACTTAGATCTAACATCTATCCTCTCCTTGCAGCATACATTGTGGACTATTCTGAGTAGTGCCTATTAGCTGCTACATGAAAAACAAATGTCCAAAATGCACTGCTTCAGTGAAGAAACTGGGTGATTCAGTCTTCTCTAGAATCCTGAAGATATTATTAGTACTTTCAAAAATGTGTCTGCAGAATTAAAATCACAGACATATGAGAACTGAAGAATTCAATCTGTAAACTCACTTTGGATGGATCTTTCTTACTGCAATATTTTCCAATGCTTTACTCCAGACATTCTCCATCAATTGCATAAAGGCATATTTAAAGATCATTTTATCAAGTGGATGACATCAGTCCTAGATGCTGATGAAGGAGTCAAGCCAGATGAAGAAATAGATCAATTTAAGGCTATGACAAGATATACAAGTCTTTGCCACTTCAAAAAAGAGATATCCTTAGTCACACAGTGGACTAAAAACAAGTATAAGAATATAGAAAAGATCTTCTTGGGTATTATTGCTGAAACAGTGCCATCAGAAGTGACTGTCTATATTCATGCTATACTAGACTTTATCTATTATATCTATTTTAAAGAACACACTAATAAGAGTCTAAAGATGAAGCATGGCATATCTTTTATCAACACAAGAATATATTTCTTGATCCTAATGCTTGCAGCAACTTTAATATCCTAAAGATTTACTCAACTATTCACTATGCAGATGCAATACAGTCTAGAGAAACTGCTGATGGATTCAATATAGAGGCATCAGAATGACTACACATTGATTATGCAAAAGTTGCATGTAACACCTTCAATAAGAAGAAATACATCAAACAAATAATGTAGTGGTTGATATGAAGAGACTATCAAATAGTTTCAGAAGTTTCTTCAGTGGTCAATTGATGACTATATAGAGCCAGAAGGAGATGAGAGAGATATAAATAAAAATAATTATAAGAACAGTAAACAGGCAGATGTGGAAACTGAGTCTAGTCACTTGACTGTTTTGGACAACAACATGAACACATCTAACATATTCTCACTATCCTTGAAATACAGTGAAAGCAAGTTTGCTATTGCAAAAACTCTAGCATACACAAATATTGACATTGTCACTCTTGAAAAACAATTTAGTACTATGAGATTTGTATATGCACTGGAGAGTTTTCTTTGACAGCACTTCAGTAAAGCATCATATAATTTTTGGACATCAGATCCAGCTACATATAATATCTACAAGTGCTTTCATATCTTCATTTCACTAATATCTAAAGTCTCAAAATCAACTGTTATTGATTCTGTATATGCAATGCTCTCACAGTCTGCTCAGAGATACAAAAAAGTAATACTTGCTATGTTTGACACTGTTCTTGCATGAAAAGAGCTGCCTGAAGATGGGATTGATCTATATACACTTGGAACACAAAGTGCATGCTCTAGTCAGTCTATCTTGCTTGACTCTCATTATCCTATTTCAGAGCTACATGTTGCATAAGTATAAGCAATATTTCATCTTCCAGATCAATTTGGCAACTTCTCATACTCTTTTGTCTACATTGAATGGTTTATGCCTCTGCAGAAGCTTGACAGCAATACAGATATATTCAAGATCAGTAGATTGACCACAAATCAACAGCAGAATCCATCTATAATACTTATCACCTATATCTCATCAAGCTGCTATCTGATATCTTATTTGGAGTGTAAAATGGATCCTACATAGACAAGTGAGAATATTCTAAATAACAGCAAGACTTTCTTCATCAACTTATATCTTACACATCTTGATTTTATACTACTACAATATAAATGCAAAATCACTTCACATTGGATACTCTCTTAGTAGACACTCACCCTGCATTAATACATTCTATCTTTTCCTCTTTGTGCAACATTGTGCTTAAATCAGACAGAGACCATCAATAGTCAGATAGCCAAGGCTGGTTCAGAGAAATAAAGAGTTTTTAGTGTATTTTGAGATATGTATCTAATATGCATAATTTATTTGATAGTATGAGATGCTATATACTCTTGGCAGAGAACTACTGAGGCTACTGCATGTACAAATGATACATAAGCCTGGCATATGAGGACATAGTAATTGCCTTTTTTCTGATAGTATCAGATTCCTTGGCATTAATATGGGTGGATCACTGAGAAAGGTTATTGACTTGATTGGTGATGCCACAAAGTAGATTCATAAAGTTTATAGTAAGTGGAGTATTATTAAGGTGATTAGGATTATTGAGAGAACTAGAAGAATTGTTCTTAGGTTCATCTGGACCTTCAGAGCCATCAGAGTTAGGTAGACCACCATTCAGTGCATGAGATGAGCATCATGAAAGTGGAGGTGTTGGTGTATCAGGGCAATCATTATCATCACTATCATCACCATCATTGTTCTGATCTCAGGTTTGTTGAAACAAGTGAGATATGATCAGAGTCTATAAAGGGTCATTTTAATAGTCATCTCAGCTAGTGGATGTGGATGGTTGAGGCTTAAAGAGATTGGGAGTTTCACTGTTGGCATCAGATTGTCAGACAGTAAAAGCACTATGATTGTAGGTTTCTCTATGAGAGTCTTTGGATGGAGCAGAATCCAAGCCAAGCATGTGAGGGTCTTCTTTTGAAGCAGAGGTGAGAATGTCTTCCATGGAGTAAGTCTGATTGGTGGTCATAGAGATGCAGTCAATATTGGTGGGTTCAGTAAATGTAGCAGATATCTAAAATTTTGACTCAAGGGTTTGAGTTTGAATATACTGTTAGAAATGTGCCAATAGAGAACAGACAGAATGCATACAGTGGGGCTGCAGAGTGTGAAGGCCTTAGTGAAGCTATTAGCAATGTTATCTCTGGATTGAAGCCCTGAGACAGACAGAGATCTATGGAGTGAAAAATAAAGTTAGTCCTGTGGAGTCAGAAGTCTATGGACTGGAGATGATAGTTTGACTTGAAGGTCAAACAGAAGGAAGAGGGAGTTGGCTAATCCAAGTTGATATTCAAACTGAGGTATGTACAGGTAATTCTATAACTTATATACTAGTGTGGAGTCTGAGGAATCAGGTTCTAGAGACAGAGCCTATGTCTGTAATATTGTAGCTAGAAGAGTCAGGATCCTGAGGACTCTACCTATTCACTACTATGATAGAATCTAAATGTGATAAATTAAAGATATGAAATTAGAAGATAAAATATAAAATGGAATATAAAATAGAAACCAGAAAACAGAATCTGACAGAGTCTAATCAAATGTGGAGTTGGACAATGGAAGTTGGATTGGAATTGAAGATCCATGGCATGCTCATTACATTTAAGATGAGAAGCCATGATTTGAATAATTTGATGTAAAGCTCAAGAATAGAATAGAGTAAAAGTAATAGAAGCCCCCCAAAAAATGGACAGCCTGAGATGCTGGCTAGTGTAAGAAAAAAAAAAATAGCTGCATATCTCAGCCATCCAGTGTGGTCATCTAACTCAGTGATCTGCCATGTTTGGCACAGCTGCAGTCACCCAAACTCAGTGAACTGCCCCTTAGAGTCCCACTAGAGTCTCCACATTCTAATATCCACCCATTGTACAGTAGATAGAAAGATAGGATTGATCTCTGGTATGCTACTGTATAGATGCAAATATGTAAAGGTGAGGTATAACTAAATTCCACAATGCCTGCATGTCCCAGTCATCAAAAAGCACACCATACATCTGTCTCAGAACACTCCATCTGCATTTGTTCCTGGACTAGACGCACTCAGATGCTGGCTTCCATGAAAGCTGCCAGCATTACCAAGTGTCTCTCTGCTTCCCCCATACATGCTCTGATGTTGTAGAGTATGTAAATGTTGCTGCCCATCCCGAGGAAATAACACAGGCTGCACAGGCATTGTCCATCTCACATCCAGGTCCTCCAAAATCATTTTCAAGTTCCGCATGAACTTCGTCCTTCGCACCCACCGCCCGCCCCAATCCTGCCAGTTCGGTCGGTGCTCCATGGCCACAATCAGCTGGATCAAATTCTGGTACTCCATCTTGTCAATGTTGAGATCCATGCCGCTCCATTCACGGTTGTTCTCTGACACGTATGACTTGATACGTGTCCGAATCTCTTCAATCACCGGTAAAGGAGTGTTGTACGCTATCTGGATGTTCGTAGTTTCCCACATACTGTTCGATCGTCGGAGATTGTGGATCAGCTTGGAGGACGCAAGAAGGGAGTTGGGCGCGATGATCTCTTGCCCGTCGACTCGGCGAAAGGTGGTACTGAACAGTCCGAATTCACGAACCATGAGCACTTGGTCATCTATCATAACTAGATCACCAACGTCAAAGACATGTGTGGAAAAGATGAAGATGAGGGAAGCAAACAGCGTCGCGGCTGCGTTTCCAAAAACGAAGGAGAAGCCGAGAATAACGGTCGCTAATGGGACAAGCGATTCGAGCGTGTTGGATTTGTTAAATATGAGGAGACAGCAGAATATGATACCGACAAGAGAGCAACATAGTAAAACTGCGTCCAGTTTGGTTACAGCTGAACCAGCATCCTTGAGGGAGGCAATGAGCGATTTGCGCTCGCGGTAGATGCGCTGAACTGCTTCGCGCATCTCCCGTTTACTAATGTCACCATTGCCGTCCTTGTCAAAGAGTGCAAACGCAACAGTAGCCTCTTGCGTACTCCGGAAATACGGATAAAAATCTGGAGCCAAGTGAGATATTATCCGACACGTAATGGGAGTTATGACCTTCAACAATTAAATAATCTCGATCAGGATCAACATCATTGAGACTGCGGAAGAGCTTGCGGGCGAGCTTTCGTGCCGAGTGGAGTCCCCCCAGATCACCTTCACGGTTAAATTTGGAGTTTTTGAGCGCAACTTGGCCGATAGCGTCACCGACTTGATCAATGGCGCCGCCGACCTGATCCACAATGACGCTGGGCATGAAAGATTTGCGCTTGCGACGTCGCCGAGCAGTCCGGGTGGCGGTTATAAGCTTCTCCCTGTGAGCATCTATCTCATTGCCATGTCCCAACTGGCTTGGGTTCTGATTGTGTCCCCGCGGCGCAGCATTGTTCAGATCTACACTCGTCCCAGGACTCTTGTGCACCCGCCTCTTCGGATGCTTATTCCCGAGACCAAAAACAGGCTGGGCATTGGAGAGCCTATCCAACGCGCGAAGACCCAACTTGTTCTCCGTCAGGCGATCCGCCAGGGCCTTCTGATGGAAATTGATGGCAACAAACTGAAGGAAAACCTTCTCAGCAAGGATTATGATACCAGCGGAGAATAAGGCCTGCATAATTCGATTGATAATGACCCAATAGTTGCCAGCTGGCTTGTATAAGGTGCGTATAACGGAAAGCGCGATCCAGGCCCAGGAAATATCGAGTGCTAGTTTGACCCAGCCCTGAACGGCGAGTGCAAGCTAGACATGCGGTGTGGTCAAGGAAGGATGCGACGTGACGAAATAGGAAATACCTCTATCTGCATTTTCGACCGCTCCAGCTGTCCTCCAAAGAGAACTATCAGGCCTACGATGAGCCGAGGAATGGCATCGACAACCAGATAGGTCCCACATGCGGCTGCCCATATCACGGTGAACCACAGACTCCAGACGTGGACCTGCATACGCACGCTGCTGGGGATGGCCTTGAAGCGCAGCTGGACGACAAGCAGGGGTGTGATAAGGATAGCACACCCTAATATCCCGATAACGAGTACTCGGACCCAGCGAGATAGCTTGATGAAGGCAAGATAGATAACACGTCCACGCTTGGCCTTAACGCCATCGCTGTTCTTGGGGCCAGACGAGTCATCGTCAGACCAATTGAACTCGTCGGAAGTATGGGTAGCAGTGGTATCCGAGTCGGTGGACGCCCGCGTCGACGTCGAGGGCTTTTTCTCGTGTTCATTTGTAGGCGAGCTGGATGTGGTAGCCACCGGGGCATAGTCGCGGGCAAGAGGGGTTGTCGGTGGTGGACTCTCCCTGCCCATGGTAAGCAGAAGATGGCGATGGCGAGAGGCTCAGGGAGCCTGTTGGAAGCGGGCCGAAATATTTTAAATCTCCGAAGAAATATATTCATATTCCGACAGCTGCACGTGGGATGGTAATACCACCCGAGCACGTCGTGCCATACAGCGTGCTCAGGCCTTCGCCTATCGATCGGTAGCAATAATGCTCTCCAACCAGCTGCCAAGTACCAACCAGCAGCTGCCTGGTGCCGTGCCGTCGTCATTGCAGTCTGCTCTCCAGATGAATCCGCCCCCACCAATGCCTATCAAACAGTCATCGCCAAACCAGGAAACGCCACCAACATCGACCCCGACAGCAGGTGCTAAGCGAAGACGAAAAAACGAAGGTGGAAACGAGGATGGACCACAAGGACCAAGCGAACCTCGTCGACTACGCCGATCGCACGAAGCTTGTGCTAGATGTAGAGGGAAGAAAATTAAGGCAAGTCCCGACTGCTGGCATTTGCCGTCGGTGTCGCCCGGGGCAGCCCAGCAGCGTACTGAGCTGACACTCTCTTTTCTCTTCAGTGCGATTCAAAACATCCACGATGCACTGCCTGCGCTACTGCTGGTGTCGAGTGCAACCAAGAGGACCGTCACCGTCAAACACTGACCCCCAGAGGGTATACTGAGCGCATCGAGCTCCAGCTTGCACAATGTGAAGCTCTACTGAAGCGACATCTGCCTGGATTTGCCTTGGAGAATCTCGAGGAATTCCTTGCGAGAGATGGTATCGACATCGGCGGCCCAGCCACCGCAGCGTTTCAGCTGAGCTCATCACCATTGCGCAACTCGTTTCGTCCAGAACAGCCTGTTCCACCTGGTGGGCCGCCAAAGGGATACCCTCTCTATCCGCCCCCGCCCGGTATGCTGCCTCCGCCGCCAGGTTATCCGCCTCATGGTATGATGCCGTATCCGCCGCCGGGCCCGTATCACCCCTCCCAGATGCCGCCAATGCCGGGTCCACCCTACAACCCCCATATCCACCCTGCATTCCAGCAGCATCCTCAGTATCTAACGGCAGAGGTTGTCGAACAAGGGCGCACCGTCACAACTGATATCAAAGGTCAGGATCCCAAATCCAATGACATGTCCAACACCCAGGTAAGCTCTGTGCACGCCGTCTCTGAATCTCTCTCATCGTAACTTAGTCTCTTGCCAAAAATTTCGGTGTTTCCGCTGCGATTGTCAGCGATCTCAAGTTAGGCCCAACGCATATCGATAGGGAGGACCTTGCCGTTGGGTCCAACGGCTTAAGCTCAGGCAGAGACCGTTCTATTGGAGAGACCTCTGCTCCCCGTGATACGGCAAACTGGCGTACAGTGTCCGTCAGACGCAACTCCAATGCTTCTCTGAACTCACCTCGTCTTCCTCTCATTTCCCGAAGCTCTGATCCATCCTCCATCGATGTATGGCTGCCTAAAGACCGTGCGATGGTCCAGCAGGTCGTAGACGTCTACTTCACCCGTCTCAATGTGCACCGTCCTGTCTTCTTCCGCAAGGTGTTTGAAAAGGCGCTGGATGACCTTTATGCAGAGCGTACCATCACCCACGATCCGGGATTCATTTGTAGTCTATACCTTGTGCTGGCACTGGGAACCCTAAGCGAGATATCTAACCGGTCTGCCAAACTTGATGTAGATGCCGACGATCCCATGAGCTCGGGTGCCACCAGACCCAAAAGCTTTGCTCCTGACTGGCCAGAGCACGATGAATTTTTTGAACGTGCGCTAACCGTAAAGCCCGATCTCAGGGTAACTATCTCCAGTCTGCAAGCGCTCATACTCTTGCACTGGTATTTGTATACAGAAGTACGTTTTCTATTCAATTAATATTTGTATGCCGTTGACACGCCAGTTCCTAGCGTCAAGGACGTACCTTGTGGCGTCTAGTAGGAAGCCTTGTCCGTCTTGCCATAGAGCTTGGACTTCACCACGACCCCACCACTCAGCTTAATCCCGCTACTCAGATGAATCCTAACAGTCAACAGTGCATCTTCTCTGAGGAAGAGAGCCAATTGCGCATTCGACTGTGGGGCATTGTGTTAGTTCATGACCGCGGAACATCCCTTCTTCTCGGTCGTCCGCTGGCCATCGCGCCTTCTGACGCCAATACACCTCGTCCGTCTCGCATGTCTTCGGCTGCGCGACTCTCTGGGTTGGGTGAGGACTTCAGCGAACACTTTGATCTCTCCCACCCCGTCGCGGAAATACAAGCCGATATCATCAATTCACTGTACTCCCCTTCGCGACAGAGTGGTGATACTATTATGCGAAATGCTACTCGAATTATCAAGAGCATGGTCGAGTTCCGGCGCGGGCTACCGGACAAATATAAATATTATTTCTCTGGTACGGATGATTGGCCAATGGAGCGAAAAAGTAAACTCGTGCAAGAGATTACTGAGGACGAGGGTCTGACGCTGCTCAAAATTGGTATATCCCGAATTCTTCTACTTCGAGCGCTATTCAGCTTGAAGGAGCTCACGTATGCCCAGCGCAGGAAGGCTCTGGTGGACGGTAAGTTGTCCTCCATTCTCCCAATTAACGATATTAATTGAGATCTAGCTATCATCACGTCGCACAATACGATCATAGTTCACAGTCAACTCATTCGATACCCAGATATTGCCTTCTTCACCTCACCTATCCCACTCCACATCGCTGCCATGGTTATCCTGTATGGCCATATGTCAAAATGTGATAAGCTTCCTCGTCACACCGCCCTGGAGGATGTATGGCTTGCTTTGGACATGCTTCCTCGATTCCGCTGGCGATGGGAGCGTAAAGATGTCAACGGTGGCCATCCTTTAATCGCCAAGCTAGCTGAACGAGTCCTGGAAGCCAATCTCCACCAAGTTGGGCCCGCGACTCATCCTGTCTTATTAAGTGAAGCCGACTGGGATGAGGATACTGTGCTAAAGAGCCCCAATCTTACCAAGAGTCAGCAGAATACCCCCACTCTCTCCACGGCGGCGTACGGGACTGGTCCCCAAAATGGTGCGGCGTATAGCCCACAACAACGGCAGATGAACGGTGGTTCGATGAATGGGACCACGCCTCCGGGAAAAAACGCGCCTATGCCTGATTGCGGGCATATGTTCTACCCATTCTATCCGGAGGCGGGGCAAAGTGAAGTTAACAGTGCGGAGGGCCATAATCATCAGGACTACAGCCAGCTCTTGGCCGTTGCTGCTGTACCTCCGTCACAGGACTCGTATATGTCCGAAGAGCGAGATGGTGCTGTTCAAAATGAACAAGGGATGTGGATACAGAATATGCCTCAGGTGGGTCACAATTGATGGCCGGAGTTGACCATGAACTCATCTCCTTTCGTCTAGCATCATTCTCCTTCCCATAGGAATGGATCTATGTCGACATATGCGATCCCGCCCCAGGCATGAATGTTATCGTTTTCAAGGTAATTTTGCGTTTACGTGTAAATTGTATGTCTTTAGTTTTTTTATTCGTCATAACCGGATGGGCATACACCCTCCTTTCCTGTTACAATATCTTTCTTATCCAGTATGTACCCCGCTATCCCCTCTCAGCGCGATGCTTGGATGTAATATTATGTTCAGGCGCGCTGACATGTACCTTTGTTATTCTGTCTTTGCCTGTACTGCCTAAAGTACTTACCAATTATGATGCAGTTTGCCTTTGCGGTTGGGACAACCTATAAGCCACGAGCCAAACAACATTTAAACGAGGATGTGCTATTGAACAACGTATGCCTACACACACTTCTACTTGTAAAACTACATATAAATACAATACAGGGGAATGTCTAATTAGATAGAGTAATGGGGATCATAAATACCGGATACAGTGGTTAACCAAGAGAAACAAGCTGAATGAACGCGATTTACGATACGCCCTATAGGATCTTCTCCATTCTTGCTAAAGCAACATCGACACCTCGGATCAGTAAGGTGACTTTACTGGGGAGTATTGCGGCAGCAGCATGATCTGCGTCTGTGGCGCCGTAAGCGATATTTTGATCCGTTATGGCTTTTTCTACGGCTATGGGAAGACGGAGGGTAATGCGTGCGAGCCGTACGGTGAGACGAGAGCGACCGAAAAGATCAAAGTAGGACAGTTGGCGAAGAGCGTGTTGGATCTCCAGAAGACGACAGAGTTCGTTGTGAAGCACGTATATGCACGTCCGACAGGCTACAACAGGATTAGAATCTATGAAAGTAAGTTCGCTAGGATTCATACTCAAGGCGCGCTGTCGGATCCGCTGGAGAGTCAGGAGAACCGAATTTATACCATCCTCGCGTAAACTGAGGGCTGGATTGATATCATTGATAGCTTCTGTGATATCGGTGAGACGCGACCATGATTATGAGAGATCGTGATACATACTCAGGAGCGTGCGAATGACTTCGAGGTCTCCGTCGAGGAAGTCGTTGAAAACGCCTATCACCACACTGCGAAAAGTTTCTTCCGCATGTCCAGCAGGATGTGCAGAGAATACGTCGTAGGTAGATGAGGGAGGACGTGAATCATATAAGCGTTTTGAGGAAGGTTTGCTGAGAATATCATATGCCACAGCCACTTTCTGAAAAGCAAGGGTGGCGTTGGCTTCCGAAGGGAATTTACTATCAACACGTCGTTAACGGCATGGAGAATCATCATGTTGAATGTACGAACTCTGGATGGCATGCACGACTGCGAGAGAGATAAGCGCGACGAAGGGCCACCTTATCGAGGTTGGCTGCCTTGGCAATGCCCAAGACTTTGTATAGGTCATCGTTCTTCAAGACTTCCTTGAGCGTGTCGTCGCGACCGGGGTCTGCAGAGTGCAAGGTCGGATATGATTTATCGGTGACCGGTAGGCCTGAAGGCTCCGCTGTCCATGTCAAATATTTTCGTTCGTAGTTTTCAATGTCTCTATCTTCTTCTTCATCCACAGGTAAGTGAAAGTAGGTACTGGCTGCAAGCATAAGATGCTCAGAAAATGCTCGAAGGCGAAGAAAAAGCACGTACCTGTGGATAAAGCGTAGGAGAACATGGTGTATAAGGCCAAGGGCCACACCGGAAGGTGGAAAGAGGAGTGCTGTGGGAATCAGTAATTCCTGGAGAGAGAAATCTGACATGTGAATTCCAAAAGCACGTGATCAAATATCATACGGAAGCTGTTAAGGTGTCTAGACATTTGCGGATCGTCCCTCGGACTACCCGATCGTAGCACCCAGAGCAACGGCGAATGCTCTTACTGCCCTCTTCACTCCACCCCGTTCTCCCATAGCCGTCAGCTGGATAACTGCCTTTACCGTGTGTTTCCCCCTCAGGACGGTCAACTCATGTCGCCCAAATGCCCAGTTTAATATGTATACGTCCTTCGCAGAGTCGAAGCGTACGAATCCTTTCACCCTCCACACCCTCTCCTTCGACAGAGAATTCAGCGCCGTCTGTAGCTGCTCATGTGTAATACCTTCCTTGGACTCGGTGATAACTTCTTCGTCAGCATGCCCAGGTGCATGGGAATCACAATGGTGTACTGGTTCGTCGGCTCCCCGCAGAATTGTCACAGTCTCAACTTCATCTTGGTGCGCCACGTCCTTGTAGTCTTCCTCTCCCATGAAAAGCTTCGTCTCTAAGCCAAAAATCAGCTTGGGGTCTACGCCCTCCTTTCCTTGGCATCTAATTTTGGGGGTAAGGTCATTCAACGTCCCCAAATGGTCTAACACGATATCTAACTGTCGCTCCGAGACATGTTCCCATTTGTTCTGCAGAAACTCGTGTCAATCGATAATAGAAATGATATGTCGGGTGACTCACGATAAGGATCATGTCTGTATAATTGGACTGCATTTTTGCAGTCGGTGAGGAATCTTCGTAACCCGTAAAGTTTTCTGCATCTATTACTGTAATGATGGCATCTAATCTAAGACCCCCGCAGGTCTCACGTTCCAACTCGCGTATCTGGAATGCCAGCGTCGTGGGGAAGGCTGACCCACTACAGCGGATATAAATTTCAGTTCACCTAAAAGTTTTCACATGACGCACGAGCATTCAATTATGATACGGTCGGGCATATATTTATCTGTTGTTTCGGATGAATCACACAGCTGATGGATATTCCCATCCTCACCTTTAATCTCTAGTAACGCATTCTGCATCTGGCCGACTAGGACACAGCACCTGTGTTACCGTTTGCTTTAGGATCAAGCTAATTGTGCAAATATTGCTCACATGCAGCCATTAAGTATTTCGCTGACAGCGGTCAGACTGGATTGTGCTGCCAATTTGCTGTCCACTAGAAGTTATCTCAGATACGGAACGGCGGTCTGAAAAATGAGTGATCTACCTTCAACGTCACCAAATTCATTCTTCAGCAGAACAACCTTGTAGTCCGAAGGGAGCTGAGGCAGCAAAGAGAGGATAAGTGTTGTTTTTCCAGCCCCAAGGAATCCAGTGATGACGGTGATGGGAATGAACGGGGCCATGAGCTCGACTTCAAAGTCCGAGTCGCGACATGTTCGATGATGCCTAAATGGGAAGGCCGATCATATGACGTCTCGTAATTCCGCTCACGTCACCTTTTATTGATCACCTGTGACAGACGAGTCCCATCGAACCGACGAGACTTGACTGCACTGCTCTTTCCCCGATATCAACCGTCGCCAGGACGCGACGGTCTCCTCCTCCTCCTCCCATGTCGAGCACCAATTTCTCTATTCAGGCGTCGCACGTTGCTCGCGCTCATACGTGCTTGGCGGCCGCCGCGTTCTTGAGCGCTCTGCTCATCGGATCCCTTTTGCATTACAAGAAAATTGTGAAAAATGGTGTTGCCGGCTACCCTCAGGAATGGTTTCCGTCGGTCTCTGCAACGTGAGTGCTTCTCTGGCTGTCATGACCGACGTCGGTGAGCTGACTGCAGCCAGTATCGGAGATTGGTACCCGGAACGAAACCTGTTCCAGATACTCATCGCCTTGACGTCCGGTACGATGCCATCATCCCTCTTCTGTCCTACACTCACGGCGCGTCTAGGACCTCGCTTTGGACTAGTAGCTGCCCAGTATCTGCTGCACCGGTCATCTCAGTCGGCACTGCCGGTTCTCGTGTTCGTCTTTGGCTTGGTTCGGACACTATCGTGTGGTGGATGGGTGTACGTCACGTCCAGCGATGACCACGACGTACATGATTTCTTCATGATCACCTATATGGTTTGCAACATACCGTGGATGCTTGGTGGTATTGCTTGCACTCCCACGCAGAGTACGCTAATACGTAAGAAACGGCGAGTAATAAGACTTGTCGGCAGAGGTATTCATGTCTCACGAACGTAATACAGATGCATTATCGCAACGGCGTAAGTTGAGAACTTGCATGCTGTCTCTGTTCTGATTCAAAACAGGTTCTTTGTATCAATTATCCCCCTCGTGTACTTCTTCATTCAGCACAAAGTTCACCGAATCCCTGGAGGTATCCCTCTTTTTTGTCGCGCTATTCTTCTTGTTGATACGCCCTTATAGCATATACGCGCTATAGCTTCTTCGAGTGGGGTCTCATCTTCTTCGATGTCTTTTATGATTCCATAGCGGAGGCGGAGTTCAAGGATGCCGCTCTTCAAATTTCCCTTAACTCTCTGATAGTTAAGGATCAGAACCACGAAGAAATGTATCACCGTCTTCATCGACTTGCTTAATGTTGATTTGCTGATCTTTGTCCAGTCGCAATGGAACTGTGGTTCCTGTCAAGGAGAACAAGATCACATCTGTTTCAACCCTTCCTCTTGACCGCGAGCCTGTATCATTTAAAATGTTGACTGTGGTTCAAAATCCTGTTGTAAGCCTTATATCCGACGTTTACTTATGTGAGCTCAGTATCCTCGGTCTGCATTGACTCTCCATCTCATTTTCGCCAGCATATGTATTTTGGTCAGTATTCACGTCCCTGACACCAACGCTTTTCTACTTCTCCGTTTGGGAGTTGGGAATCGCCGGTCATGAACTCACGCTGCTGTCTGTTCTCTCACCGTTCCTTCTGTCTGTGTCCCCCCTTCTTCGTTGGGCAAGAACACGGCCCGCCCAGATATTTCTACATTTCTTGTCATTATTTGGCTTGGCAGCGTACCTCCTGCAAGAACCTCTGCAACGCCTGTTTGTAGTCTCATTCGCCACATCGATGGCTGTTCTGAGACAAACAGCTGATTGGGCTGCTTCTGATGAATACGCTGTTGGATATCAAAGTATAAGTGAGCCCTGATGCGCCCAGAAAATTTCCTTTATTGTTATGAACCTTCTTTGCAGCTACAGGCCTTGGCTTTATGCTGTCGTGTTTATTGAAACACGCAAATCATTCGAACAATCCAGGTATGCTTTTCCTCCTTCACTGGTAATGTTTCTTACGGTCGTGCAGTTTGGCCGTTCTTGAACGAGCATTCGGGGGGCTACAACAAAGCAGGCATCCTTTTTGCGCTCCTTTGCCTCCTAGAATATTTTTTTCGACAGTCTTTTGAACAGCGAGCCACAGCCCAAGTTGCCACTTCACGAGCAAATCGTTGGCTGTTCGGTGCTATATCATTGGGTAGCCTGATTTTTACTTTACACACTCTGTTCTCCGATCCAAGCACAACGATTGCGTGGTCGTGGACCGGTTACGAGAACGGACGGCCCAGAGGTCCACAGCCGCATCTTCATGGCTCTCTAACCCTTGTTTTCCAGTCTGTAGGTTTATTCACCGCAATCCTCTTGTCTTCTGATGCTGGTAAACGGTACAACTTTACGACGCATCCTCTTTGGCTGGCTTTTGGCGCCGGCTCTTCATATGTGATGTATCGATATCGCAACTGGTTAGGGTACAGTGGAGGATTGGGCCTAGCCTTTTTCGTCATGTCGACTATTCCGGCCATTTTGCAGTTGGCTGCTGTTACGGGAAAAGTGGCCAAGACATATTTCACAGCTATGCTGGTTTACGTCCTGCTTAGCTTAGCAAGTGTGTGGACTGTTGCCTATGCCTTTGTTCCAGGTGGCGTGTATCTGAGGGAAAGATCGGACCTGTGAGCTTCGACTGTGATTGAATTCTTCACACCTCCAGTATATTCAATGTTGTACCAGGGTCTTAATCGCGCAAATGATGGGTCTTTCTCTGTCGTTTGTCCCGCCAAAGGGAATACCCCAGCCTGTAGTGATGGCATCTGTTCGGACCTACGCTTTTCTGCTCCTCGGTTGCATTTCCATGTTATCAGTGCTTGCAACATTGTGTAGGATGCCTTCTTCGGCCATACAACCATGGAGGGCTGGCCCGAGAGTCTTGCGCACAGGTATCTGGACCTTGCATTTCGGAATCGATAATGCAGGTCGTGATAGCCAACGGCGGGTGCGAGACGTGATAAGGTGCTGCTCTTAAGTTCGATGGGGATCCTCGTGCTATACTGACACTCCCAAAGAGATTTAGAACTTGACGTCGTCGGCTTTTTGGAAACGGATTTACATGTAGGTTTCTAACACGCTAAATCCTCGTGCGCCTAATCAGAACATCGTAGCGAACGGTGTTTGGTAACCGGGACTTGTGAGTTATCTATTATGATATTATAGAATTGAGCTGTACTGAAAATCTCATAGAACTAGGGTCATCATAGAAGACCTGGGTTATGTATGTATTTTTCTCTATGGCCAAGATTAATACTAACATATACATAGAACGTAGACATTGGTCCAGGGCCAAATTCTCATACCTGGGGTGCTGTGCTATTGTCCAAGGTATCATCGAAATGCCTTGTATTTCGGTTAGCTGACACTATGAATACAGTTCCCAATCATCAACTCGACACATCACCTGTTACCCTCTCCTCACGGCGAGCTCGCACCTGCAATTGAAGCCGTGCTCGATGTTTTCGGCACCTATATCACGGTTGTAGTATCTCATAATGGACAAGGTGGGCGCAGCTGTGGCATACCTTATTGTTTGTGGTGTAGACCAGTCAATCACAGAGGAAGATCCATTGGATCGTGAGCTCCAGAGCAAGGAGCTAGCTCGCATCATGGCGTCATCGTATCCTAAACCGGTTATATTCCTTGGCTATGTCGTGACAAAGCCCGGAGCCTCACGTCGTAAGCTTCATAGATATATTCTCAAAAGAACTGCCCACGTATTGCATTTGCAGCGAGTCCTTATGAGATTTTGACTGTTGACGGTCGAATGCATGATATCGACGAAGAGGATGACGATCGATGGTGAGCTATATATATATTGTTCGACTTCATGTTAATGCAAGGACCGTCAACCTAGGTGCGAGTATATACTCTACCGAGGTGTTTACCGCACTTCATATGCTCGAGTGTCCCGGGGCAGTATCACAGACACAGAGCTTCAGGTCGGACAATTTATATTGCCCAGACATGGTAGAACTGTCGTCAACGACACACACGAAGCGCAGTATCTACGATCCCATAAGGAAGATCTTCCAGAAGAACACGTTGGTTTCTTTGTCAATGCATGACTTGCAATGCTGATGTCTTCTTTACAATTAGTGGTTCCCAATGGCGTACTACGGAAACAAAAGGCAAGGAGGTGTAAATGGCCATTTCTATCATGTGTTCGATACGGTAGGTTGCGAGTTTCGTCGCTGCTCGTCGGTCTTGCCTAATGTATACTACTCCCAGCCTTTGTATTACCAGATTCCAGAGGACGCTGTATTATGATGACACCGTATCTTAAATTCGCGCTCTGACTGTTTTGATTTTGCTTTACGAATTATTTGCATTGTTGTTTTCCTAGGTACCGACCGTATTATGTAATTATACCCAATGCAATGCGATGACAGCCCTTCTCAGATATGCGTGAATCCTCGTTAGTTGAGGAAACCATTCATCTGTTGGAGTACCGGCGTACAGGACGGCAAGTGTAAGCTACTCGATGGGCAAAATGCAATGATCCACTAACATAATTACAACACAGCCGAGGTGCGACATCGAGAAATCGAATGGTAATAAATAGGTCAAATGATGGTTCATCTAGTCAATGGACTCGTCGCCGATGTCTTGATGGTCTCGAAAACAGTAACCTGCCTGCCAGATCTGACGGGCACAGCTGGAGGTTTTCTCCGCTTCGGTGGTATCGGAGGAGGAGCGGAATAGACACCAGGCTGCCTGAAAGCAGGTGACGACGGAACGCTCACCGCCACGGGCGCAGGTGGAGGCTTCCTAAGCTTAGTGCGGGCCGGTTCGCCTCCAGCGTCGGATTGGGAGGAGAGATCGATGTGGTGAGAATGTGATGGTCGTTCAACATGAAGTCTCTCGACATGCTCTGAGCTGGCAGTTCCTTTCCGGCGTGGGTAGGGGACTGGAGGTTTGGATGTAGACGTAGAAGGAGCAGCGGTCGCCACGCCAGAGAAACTGCCGGCACTGGCGTTACTCGGTCTTCGCACGGCCCCAACACGGATTCCCTTAGCACAATTCATACCATTCACTCCCTTCGCAACCATATTTTCTGCGCTTCGGCTAGACTTGAGCGTCTTTCCAGGCGTTCCCGAACCCATACCGTCAACGCTTGCTGGCAGGCCTAGGTGGCTCCGACTCGGGGCAACGGAATCGCTCGGTGTAGAGGATCTGGACACGTCGTCTGCCTTTTTCAGCTGCACGCACCATTCTCCTCCGAGACACCGTTCCACGAGCCTCTTGGTCGTTGGATTGATATCATGTATTCTGCTGTCCCGCACCAAACTCTCCAAAGCACACTTGATCTGGGGCCGCTTATATGGTACATCTTTGAGTTGCGTCTTCGTTAGTAGCGGATGCAATACGCGGAGATACGTATGTCGCAGCTGGATGACTTTAGTAAAGCTCCAACATTCAGCCAAGCGACTTACCGACTCGCTGTCCTCGTCCAAATCAACCACTTCTCTCAAGAACACATCAACCAATACACATAGATCGTTCGTATAGAAATATTCTTCGGTACCCTTTGTCGTAAATAGCAGATAGATCAGCTTGAGTACCAGTAACTGCATGCACAAGTCGTCTGATGTCCGCTCTAAAACCAAAGCTGATAAGGAAAGATCTACGTCACAGAACAGTGGCTTACGAGCTCTGTTGAGCATAAATATCATATTCTCTCCAAAGGTTTTGCTCGAACCTAGTCGCCGCATCAACACCCTCAGAACACGGTTCTGCTCTACTCCACTTTGCTCGCGATCACATATAGAAGCCACCATGAACTGCTCGTTGAATGCCACCTGTTGACCATCAGTACGAGAACAAGAAATAAGGGAACACAAGGACTCACTATCAGTTTTATTACAGAATAGTTAAAGGTCTCGTCCTGGACGTGTCTTGTCTGTTCCACCAAATCAAACAAGTAATCGATAAAGGAATCGTCAAAGACGCCTACGAATTTGTTAGAAGATTCACGACCCACAGCATGATGTACTCACGTAACTCGGCGACGCTAAGCTTTTGCCAACGACAGACTTCATACAGCAACCTTACGCCCACTAGCCGTAGTTTAGCCTCGATGACACCATCCTCGTTCTCATCGATCTCCACGAGTGTATGATCCATTAGCAACGGTACCAACGTGCCCCATCGCCTTTGCGCACGAAAGAAATCAGTTTTTCGCTGGCCATACCGTAATAGAACATTGAAGGTAACGAGCTGAGCGTGTGGGTCGGTATTTGACTTGGCGGTCTCAGCCAGATTCTCGCACATTCTCTCAGAGTGGAAGGCCCACAGCTCCGAATCGAGCAAAAGGTCGACCGCATGCTCCAGCTGGAGTGGTGTTTGCAAATAGAGTTCTGCAGACATGAGCACGATTCAGATGGGCTTGTCGAAGTGGACATACCATGATATATGGCACAGATTCCCAGCCACCTGTTCATCATTCCGTCCAACTGTTGCAGCGTCGGCGGCGCTCCTCGCGGCATCGTCAAAATGTCGTCCAGCTCTACACACGACCCAGTGAACAGCTGTGGCTACAAATACTACCAACACGTACCTGACCAGAACTGCTGGGCATTCTCGACGACGTATACGATGCCAAAGTCGTCTTCCATGGCAAGAGACATTGTCTCTGGTCATCGAACGGTGGAGGCAGGAATGGGAGGAGAGTAAATTTGGATTGATTTGGATAGCGGTATGGCTTCGATGACCTAATACCGCGGCCCAGATGTTTCGGTCCGTGATACCCGATCCCTCGTCTCATGTCGCGGTTGAACAACATAATATCCCAGTCCTATTTCATTGTCCCCAGGTTCACCCTAGAATCTGGTGTGGAGCTGCGTGACGTTCTTGTTGCCTGCAAGACCTGGGGTCACCTAAATGCAACAAAGGACAATGTTATGATTATTTGCCACGCTTTTACTGGCAGTGCCGATGTTGATGACTGGTAAGTGGGCCCCCTGCTGATGTGACTCTATTTAGTAACATTCATCCAGGTGGGGTCCGCTGATGGGAATGGGGAAAGCCTTCGATCCCAAGCGGTTTTTCATTTTCTGTGCAAACGTTATTGGGTCACCCTACGGTACTGTATCCCAGTATGCCCCAACCCTGATACAGGAAAGTCTTACGGACCTGAATTTCCTGCTTCAACTGTACGTGATGATGTCCGGTAAGAAATGCCTTCCATTTTCCTACGCTCAGTCTGTTTGACTCTACTCCTTAGGCTTCATAAACTTGTACTTGATCACCTAGGTGTCGTTTCCGTGACAGTCGCCATTGGGGGTTCGATGGGTGAAAAGGCACTGCCGTACTAGAATTGCCGCTCTGCACATCACCCAACTACGTCCGCCGTGTTGTTCCTATCGCTACATCGGCTCGCCATTCGGCCTGGTGCATCAGCTGGGGTGAAGCGCAGCGTCAATCAATCTACAGCGACCCCCATTATGCCGACGGTTACTATTCCTCGCAACCCGCCTCGGGACTGGCTGCAGCTCGTATGGCCGCTTTGCTCACCTACCGCTCGCGTGACTCCTTCGATAAACGGTTCGGCCGGAAGTATCAGTTAAAAGAGTCTCCACCACAGACGCTTAATGCACTTTCGGCCTACAATGACGGCCATAAAATTTCACAAAATGGCTGCACTCCGTCGCTAGCGCCAAATATCTTCTCTGCTCAAAGCCATCTTCGCTACCAGGGCCACAAGTTCATTGCTAGGTTCGACGATCTATCACGGGGCAGACATAGCCTTGCTCGTGCACTCTCTCAGCTTCCCCGAGGCGCTCTAGTCATCGGCATCGCTACAGACGGCCTGTTTACAACAACGGAACAGCGGGAGATTGCTGCTCATATTCCTGATTCCGAACTGGTTATCATACCGTCACGAGATGGACATGATGGGTTTCTGTTGGAATTTGAAGCTATCAATAACCACGTAATGAGGTTTCTCAAAACGCAACTACCAGAAGTGTACGGATGACGATTCGAAGTGAAGAAGACGAGTATTCTCGGAGAAGCCGAGGTGGGTATTACGCAATAGTAGAGAAACGAGATTCATTTCATTGCTTGATGATTCCTTGAGAAGGAAGCTATACAAGAGTCCGTCCGCGCACGATACCGAACACCCCCTGTGGGACAGATCGATTCAGCGTGGGCTTGGGTGACCTCACAGTGTCAAAGACGATGAATCAGAATACGCAACAGCAGCCAGTTATTCATCATTGTTCGCTTCTATCAACTACTGTAAAACTAGTTCTCCAGCCTTCTAAATGCTTTCAAGTCCAAAACCTTGGACACGATTTTACCCAATGCCAGAAATTCGAACCTGTAGAAGAATTCCCCCCATTGTCTAGACGTATTTCCGACCACGAATGAGCGAATTCGACGGGGGGAATCAGGCCTAGGAGAATGAAGAGTGTGGTATCAATCATAGACACATAGTTGCCCCAGAGCATAGAAAACGGATTCGGTATGAAGGGAACGATGAAGAAGGCCAGCCAGAGAAGAAATTTGGGCCCACCACCTGAAAGATGTCGAGACAAGCATGAATTGATGGTTAAAAAGCGCATCCATTTTTAATTGCCCCCGTTTGTCACGGGTGTCCCGAACATCGATGAGCGAGAGACCTCTGACCGAGGATGGTATAGATGAGAGCAACAGCAAGGCAGATACGATGCACCAATCAGTACAGCGTCAGGAGCCAATGATAGAACCAACCACCGAGACGCCGTAGCATTTATCGCAATCCATCTTGATGTAATCGTAACTCCGTTATCTGAAAAAAAAAAGAGAATCATTCAAGAAACAGCGGATAGATCATACCGAGAATCCAACCCGGGTAGTTGTTGATGAATTGCAGTTACAAGACTTGAAGAACATGGATACTGGCTGACGAAGTGTAGCAGAAAGCGAATCCAGCGAGGCATGCCGAATTGAGCCCTCCTAGGATGAGGACTCGGAGAAAAGCACATCCATGCTTGGGTGACGGTGAAGGTGATAGAACAGCTGGAGCCACGGGCCGGCCAGGGCCTGCCGTGACTTTGGCTGTTACTTTCATGTCTGGGGAATACCTCAATTCCATCACTGAAAATGCCTCCCGACTGGGTTTGCGACTGCAGGAATCACTCAGCGAGCATACCAGGGACATCGCGAGGGGTCGTACTTCCCCGTATTACGACTCACCCGACGACAAGGGCAGAGATATTCGCAAACAGCTCGATTCCAGCAGTGATAGGGAGAAGCTTGACGCGATGAAGAGGCTAATAGCAGTACGTTTTCTCATCTTCTTCTGTTCATCGAGTGACACGTTCATCAGCTCATTTCAAAAGGTCGTAATGTCTCCGAATACTTTGCCCAGGTTGTCAAGAACGTAGCCTCCCAGAATCTCGAAATACGGAAACTGGTCTACATCTACCTTCTGAGATACGCAGAGCAGGAACCTGATCTCGCTCTTCTCTCTATCAACACGTTCCAGAAGGATCTCACCGACAGCAATCCTCTCATACGTGCCATGGCCTTACGTGTTCTCAGCGGAATCAAGGTGCCCATGATTGGCAATATCGTCGTGCTGGCAATCAAGAAATGTGCTGCAGATATTAGCCCTTATGTCAGAAAGGTCGCCGCCTTGGCCATCCCCAAATGTTACGAGTATGTCTATTCAGCATCTTCATTCTCAGACTCTTTTTACCCTTTAGCCAGCCTCGACACAAGCCACCTCTCTTCCCTCATCGAGATAATCATCACCCTTCTTCGAGACCGATCACCTTTATCTATTGGAAGTGTAGCTGTCGCCTTTGACGCCATCTGCCCCACTCGTCTCGATCTACTGCACAAGCACTATCGACGTCTCTGCAAAACGCTTGTCGATGTGGATGAGTGGGGCCAAATCAATCTCCTTGATCTGCTTCTTCGATATTCTCGCTCGATGTTACTGCGACCCGTTCTCAGAGGTGAGGAGGAAGACACTGACAAAGATGTAAAGCTACTTTTGAATTCTGCGGAACCCCTTTTCTTCAGCAGAAACCCTGCAGTACGCCGAATATCTCAAGTCTCCCACCTCTTTTCTGATGATGGATAATAGGTGGTTCTGGCTGCTGCCCGGGTTCTTTACTATGCTGGACCTCCCTCATATCACGCCAAAATCGTCCAGCCATTAGTCCGGCTGCTATCAGTATCTAAAGAAATAGAACGAGTTGCACTTGCATACATACTGATAGTCGCTTCAGCCTCCCCAGTACGCATTATTTACATTTCTAACTGCACCTGCTAAGGCATTTGTAGGGGCTGTTTTCCCCATTCTACTCTCGATTCATCCTTTCCTCCGATGATCTCCGGCAAGTTAAAATCGACAAGATAAAAATGATGCTAATCATCGTCACATTTGATAATTATCCGACGATACTTCGTGAATTCATAGTGAGCACTGCCTTATTCGTCTGGACGCTGCTAACTAGTGTAGGACTATGCAGAAGACATTGACGACGAAGTAGCGGCCGCGTCCATCCGTGCAATTGGACGATGCGCTGGCGTTATACCGGAATCGGTTCAACAATCCCTCACAGCCCTAATCGGCATGATAAATAGCCAACATGGTCAGCTCCTTGTCCGTCTGTCTCTTCTTTCCTTACACTCTCTATAGACACGATCATCAATGCCGCTGTCGTGGTTCTCAAGAATATGGTGCAGGCTCAGCTCTCTTCGAGGCGATCCACCATCCTTGGTCTATCCCAGTCTCCGCTCGCTATAATATCCCAGCTTGCCCAAAAAATCGATAGCATCCGGAATCCCCAAGCCAGAGCCTGCGTCGTATGGCTTGTAGGTCAATATGCTGCCTCAGAAGAAGGAACCCTCTCTCGCCTAGAAAGCGTAACAGACTGGGCGCCAGATGTTCTACGGAAGATGGCCAAGACATTTTCGCAAGAGGTATGTTCCAACTTTATGCCGCCCATCCTTTGCTAAGCCATCCTTCAGGAATCCGTCGTCAAGCTCCAGGTTGTCACCCTCGCCGCGAAATTGTTCGTCCTTTGTCCAGTTGACCGCACCTTGGGCCTTCTCAACCAGTACATCTTCCTACTCGCTCGTTATGACACAAATTACGATGTTCGTGATCGAGCAAGAATATTATCCTCGTTACTCTCAGGGATAGATTCTAGCATTCCCGTGACCAACGCCGATGCTCCATCAGAGCGTGAAGGAGTCGTCCTTCGCCGCGAACAAGTCAAGATGGTACTATTCGAGGGAAAGGCTGGTGTAATTGACGTCGATCCAGTTGTTCCAGGTACTCCAATCCCTCGTCACCAGCGTCCACGATCTGACGACTTTACATAGATCCGCATGTTATGCTTGGATCGTCTAGTGCTGTGACTGGGAAACCCACCCTCTGCGAACCTATACTCCCTGATTGGTTAGAGAAGGGTGTAGAGTCGTCTTTGAGAGATACTGAAGAGGACATCGCTCCGCCGCCTGTTGTTCCCACTGCCCTGTCTTCGGCTGAACAACAAAAGATGCGAGAACGAGTGTCCTTGACACCAACATCGCGGCCGGATGCTGGTACACAGGGTACGAGCTCAAAGGTCCTTCTTACCGACCTGGACAGGTTTTACGAAGAGGAGGAGGAAAGTGAAGAAGACGAATCCGAGAGCGATGAAGAGAGTGGTGATGCCCAGGATGACGAACCTGCGGACGATTCAACTGATGAAGGAAGCGCTGATGAATCCACTAGTGAAGATGAAGGCCGAGATAGGATACACAGACCTTCTATCTCATAATATACACTAATCAATGCTTGAACGGCCGTAGCGCTTCATTCCGACTGATGCATGTGCCATATTCTCTGAGTCAATGAGTGTTGGGATTCTTTCCACCGATATTGATATCATTTATGAATTATGTACGCTGAAGAAGAACGAGAAAACGAAATGAAATCCCAAAATCAATCTGGCCTTAAACCGAATGAAAATATGGGTATGGATTTCCAGGAGGTTGCGAGCTAGACTGGATTGGGCTGGGAAAGAAGCTGGATGTGAATACAAATGTAGAAATTGTTATCGATAGGACAGTAGGGACTTGGAGCATCTTGTCGATATGAAGCTTGTGTCATTTTTCAGACGGAAGCTTGCAATTCCGCACGGCAGAAACATGGCCACTGTGCACAAACATTTGATCTCGGCATCGCTGGTGCCATTACACTAATAGAAGGCTTGTTCAATTGTACTATCTGTTTGTGATAAGCGCACAGGAGAAATACGTAGGACTCGAACCTGCCACGCCCTCACCAACTAGTCAAAAGAGATAATACTGCCATTGTAGAAGACCGAGTCTTCTACTATGATTCCTGAACGAGGATAAGCTTTGGAGGGTAAAAAGCATTGGGAACACACCTTCTCCACCTCTTGGAACTGTTTCGCCCACATCATCGACGGAATCCACTTCTTCGGTGCTACAGGGCGTTGCTGCTTAAATGTCAGCATTCTGTGAAATGAACGAAGGGATACAGTAGACGCACCTCTCTCGCAGCACTCAATGAACCAACAAGGTAAGCGATAGCAAAGATACCGGTGGCGACGACAACTGTGTTCGCTTTCCAGTTGGATGGTTGAACCCACCAGCCACCTTGAAACTGGTCAGCAACCGTGATATCACCAATGCAGGGAGACTACTCACCAGCTGGTGACCAAACATACTTGGGATAGGGATATCGTCCACCTCCACCCTGCAGAGCGTCAATATATGTCCTATGGACGACGACGACATACCATTGCTCGATGATGATGGTATTATTTGGGTCAAGTCATTTCTATCACGTGGCAATATTCCCGCTTTTCGTCTTCCATTCTATCGCAGATCTCTGGTCGGCAGGACTGATTGACTTTCATAAAACACAAGACAAGATTGCTAGGATGGAAACAAAGCTCTCTCCAATGGAAGGTATTGAGCATGCGATACCGCATCACCTTTCGCTTAAATTCACCGCCCATGACGCCAGAGAAAAGCTGCTGATACAAGTTTGGTCTCTTGGGCGTTACCTATATGAGTGCCATTTGGTAAGTCTCGAAAGAGTTATCAGCGATTGGTGCGAAAACGACATGAAGCCCCAAAGCTGCGATGTGGGAGAACCACGACAGAGAGTATAACCTAAATTCCACAAACACTACCTCCCCTTCACATCATCCTCAAACCTAGCGAATACGATGACCTCTAATGTCCCCACTTCTCGTGTAGAAAGTATATTCTGAGAAAGTCATTAATATCAATCCTAGCCAAAAGCTAGTAAACGCACATCGACTAGTACACACGGCAAGCCCTTCAATGCATCCTGACTCCAATGTTGTAGAGCAGGAAGTAAACCTGCTAGCCTCATCCGTGGTTCTTCCACCACCTCCTCGACATTCAAAGAGGGAAAGATGCTTCTCTCCAAATCCGCAAACAGCATCGCCACTGCTGAATCCAGAGCACGATCTAGGACGAGACCAAAATCCGCTGACTGCACAATCCCATGAAGCTCTCCAAGTAGAGGTGCAAGGAATTCACCTTCAGGTGGTAACAATGAAAGTTGTGATAGGTTCGGCAGGGCCGAGGTGGAGGTAGTCAATGCATGCAAAGATGTGTTGCTGATGGATGGTGATGGAGGTATTGAAGGACCAAACCCACCTTGTGCAAGTACGTGGCAGTGAGTTCTGGTGTAGATGAAAGAAGAGCACATAGGAAGCTAATACAAACAACAAAAGTTAGAACTTGTGGTCATGGAGAAGTCAATTGCTTCGAATTATGAAAATGCCCTCAGCGATAACACGAGCCACTTGGCGGTGCTGTAGCATTGACAGAAAACAGATACATACTCAGCACTGAGGTCAATCTGCCGCTGTACGTCAAGAACAAGTCGATGAAGGTCCCAGAGCATCAGTCGTGTCTTGAGGGATACCCTGTCAATATTTGTGAGCCAATGGTCATGAAAAAGAATTAACAGATAAAAAATCCAAAAAGTTTTTTAGGCTGACTACTCACCCCTCAAAAAAGTCCTCCATGTTTGTCCTAACCCTTTCACCAACAACTTTCCAACCTACATGAAGCAGCCACCAGCTCATCATCAAGAACCTCACCTCTGTGTTTTCAGTTAGTCCTTTGGAGAGGTCACTGAACAGCACAGACAAATTCCCTGACATGAGCTCCTCCAGCTGCTCCCCTGTGTTCCCAAAGAGTAAACCCATTATTGATAGCTGCTCCTTGATGCTCTTGGCTGATCATTCTTCATGCACTGTTGCAAGCACAGAAGATAGATACCTTGCACATCCAGTAAGAGTGAGTTGCTGGGAGGTGAGTAGAGAGAGAAGGGTGGTGGTGTAGATGAGGGTGAGAGTATGGGTGAGACTGAGTATTTTCACAGCAACACTTTGGTTTTGGATGAGGAGAAAGATGTTGATGACATAGCAGAGTCAGATAGACTCATCTCTGAAGGCAATATCAAAGACCCAGATGCCAACATAGACATATCTAATTCAGGCTGAAAGCTCATCTCACTACTACTCTCAAGTGAGACTGTTAGGAACATGCCAATCAGATGGGCTTGAGTGCATATGCAGAGACTGGCAGAGTGCATGGGCATCAATGAAGCTATTGGCAACATCACTCTTGAGTCAAGGCCCAAGGATTTGGATTGACAGAATGGAGTTCTGTCAGAGAAGTGATGGGGAATATTCTTTGGAGCAGAATCTGACAGATGAGATAGAGAGGAGCTGAAGTGAGCATGAAGTGTAGATAGCTATCCAAGTTGATATTTGAACTAAGTAATTATAATACTTGTACATGGTTTATATACTATTGGTAGTTAATTCTGAGTCAGAGTCCATTGGGTTCCAGTGTCAGCTGTTTGCTACCATGTTCAGAGTCTAGATACTAGAATGTGAAATACAGATGTGAAATGATAATGGTAAAATAAAATTGGTAGGTAATAAGAAGTGGCAGAGTCTGATGAGGCTTGTGATTGAATTCATCATTGGTCAAAGTGATGCAGAGGCTGGCAGCATGCATGTAACAGTATCCCTCCATTATCATTCTTGCCCTCAAGAGCACAGATCCTGATGCCCAGTGGAAAGACACATAGTGAAAAAATTTTTTTTTATCCTGTGGGAGTTTTGTCTTTCAGATTTCAGCCACTGTCTTCTCCAGCTTGCAATGATATCATCCCTCACCACCTATCATTGTTTGAAAACTCCTGACCCTTTGATGTGGGAATCCACTCTCAATAGTCTTCAAGAGGCCAAGAAATTGTTTCATTTGAAACATCAAACTGTAGAGAATGAGTATGCAGAGGCCATAGAGGTTTATTTGAAATGAAAGAGGGAGCTGGAGAGGGAGGAGAAGGCCAAGGTGGACCATGTGGCCTGAGAGGCATGGAAAAGGGAGCAGAAGAAGGAATTGGAAAAGAAGAGAGAGGAGATCTAGCAGGTGGCAGAGAAGCAGATGAAGGAGATGGAGGAGGCTTGAAAGGAAGCCATAAAGAGAGAGGCTGCAACCAGAGGTGCACTGCCAGAGGAGTTGGTGATAGAGAGTGGATTGCAAATGACTCCTGTAGAGGTCATTAATTTTTAGCTGTATCAAGTTCTGATAGAATGGTTTAATCTCAGCTCTGGTCTTCATTTTAAAAGAGTGACTGGTCATATGCCTCCAGAGTCTGATAATGAGCAGAACAAGAGAACCAAGAGAGATGATGAGTTGAAAGAATCTAAGAAGACCTTAGAGAGGAGAAAGAGGGTGCAAAAGGGAAAGAGAAGGGCTGCAGGTCTAGTGTCAAAGAGTGAGAAGCAGAAGTTCAAGTCTTATAGTATAGTGGGTGACAGTGAGGCAGTGGCAGTGGCTAGCCTCAAAAAGAGTGTGAAGTTAGAGATTGTGGGGCTGATGGAGGGTGAGAAGGAGTTAAGAGGTGAAAGTAAGTGCTTTCTTGTTTCTGATTAGTTCTGACTTAGTTTTATTTTCAGAAAGTTGCATGTGCTGTCACCAAGATAGTGTACATTATTATACATGCTTAGCAACCAAAGGCACTAGTTGTGAGTAGACTTGCACTTGTTGCAAGATCAAGAAGACCATCTGTTTGTTCAACAAGGGTGTCACTACAAGTGAGGTGATCAGAAGCATGGAGGTCTCTGCTGGCCTCTATGGATTTTCAAAATTAATATGCAAGTTAAAGCATTATATAGAAAAGTTAGTGGACAAGATGATGGATGTCTATGATACTGTAGTGGATCTCCAGGATGACCACAGATCAGATGATATATTATCTCCTTCAGAATTGTTTTTGGAGTCTGAGTTGGAGGTGTGAAGAGAGGCTCATCTGATCTTCAAGAATAAGAAGAATTAGAAGGTGGAGGACTTGTGGACAGTAATGTTAAAAAGGCTGGAGAAGGATATAGAGAAGTTGAAGAAACAAGAGGAAGGCTTTGGTTCTAGTGCAGGTCTGTCAGATGCTAGACTCTTGTGATTGTAAAAAGAAAAAAAATTTCTTATAGTATAAAATGCATATAGAAAGTGTCAGAGTGAATAAAATGTAAACACAAGATTTGACTTTGAAAATTATAAAAGAGGTGATTGAAATAGTAAAGGTGAGCACTGGTGGTGTCCAGAGTAGTTGTTAGGAATGTGTCAATTTGAGTGGACTTGAGTGTATGTGTGGAGTCTGACAGAGTGCATGGGCATCAATGAAGCTATTGGCAATATCACCCTTGAGTCAGAGCCTAAAGATCTGGGTGGACAGAACAGAGTTCCATTAGAGAAGTGAATCTGAATATCCTTCAGAGCAGAATCTGATGGATGAGGTAGGGAGGAGTTGAAGTGAGTGCGAAGTGTAAATGGCTTATCCAAGTTGATATTTGAACTGAGTAGTTATGATAATGTATATGGCTTTATATACTAATGGTAACTAATTCCAAGTCGGGTTCCATTGGGTTCTGGTGTCAGTATTCACTACTGAGTTTGGGATCTAGATATTACAATGTGAAATATGGATGTGAAATGATAATAGTGAAATGAAATTAGTAGGTAATGGGAAGCAGCTGGAGTCTGGTGGGTAGCGTGATTGGATTCATGATTGGTTTAGGTGATATGGAGGCTGGCAGCATGTGCATAACAGTAGTGCTGCATCAAGAAGAGAATGTTTGGATGACTTTGGATAAGGGTTTTAGTTTGCCTGAGTATCAATAGTGGAATTCTTTGATGAACTTGTCAGTGGAGAACTCAGAGGCCAGTGACTAAGCAAATTCTTCATTGGTATCTTTGTAGCCTATCCACTGGGTTTTGTACAGTAGTAGGCAGTGGAACTGGTGGTCTAGCTTAGAGTCAAGGATTTAGGCTATTTCAAAATATTCTTCTCCATCAACTTCAACTGGAGGTGGCAGAGGTTGGATTTGATTAGAAATGGTGTTTTCTTTTATGAGTTCTAATTGTGACATATGGAAGACTGAATGAATAGACTAGATATCTGGCAGAAGCCTCAGAGTGAAAGAGTGAGAACCAGGTTGGACTATGATTTTGAAAGAACTAAGGTATTTCTCAGAAAATTTTCTGATTGGAAAGGTGGTTTTGATATATTTGGAACTAAGATAAATCTTATCACCTACTGTGAACAGGAGCACTGGAATCTGATGCTTGTCTGCTTGAGCCTTATAATAAGACTGAGCTTCAGAAATTTTGTCTTTTAGTACTTGATAGAGCTCATCAAGATTAACTGCAAAGTCTCAGGCCTGAGCAGAGGTGATGTTCCATTCAGAATAAATAGTGATGTTAGAGTGGTAACCCTTGTTAGTGAAGAATGAAGATATTCTGGTAGAGGCATTAGAGGCATTATTATAGGCAAACTCAGCAATGGGTAAGAGAATGTTCCAGTTGTCCTGTTAGTAGAAACAGTAGATGTGGATGTATTATTCTAGAGTTTGGTTTGCCTGTTCAGTTTGTCTGTTGGTCTCCAGATGGTAACCAAAAGTAAGGTGGAGTTCTATGTCAAGGGTGATGGCTAGGGTGTAAGTAAACTGAGAAACAAATTCAGAGCCATGATCAGAGGTGATATAACTGGATACTCCATGTTTGAAGAAGACATGGATGAGGAAAAGTTGGGTGAGCTCTACAGAGTTGATAGTGTCATGAGTAGAGATGAAGATGGCTTGCTTGCTAGTCTGGTCAATGACTACTAGAATAGTAGTAAATCTGTTGAAGTCTGGTAGTTGTTCAATGAAGTCTATGGAAATAGAATCTCATAGCTATTTGGGAACCAGTAGAGGTTTGAGCAACCTATAAGGGCAGTGTCTAGGTGTCTTGTTGCATCCACAAACCGTATAGGACTTAACATAGTGTTGAACATATTCACACATCTTTAGTCAGATGTAATTTTGCCAGACTAGCTCTAATATTCAGTTTTGGCCAAAGTGGCCTGCCAGGATATAGTTATAGTTATTTTGTAGTATATAGAGATGGAGATCATCAGAGTCTAAAACATAGATGCAGCCTTTAAAGCAAAGGGTGTTGGATTCATCAATGGACCACTGAGAGAGAGACAATTCAGAAGTGGCTTTAGCCTCATAGAGGCCATCAGAGGATGTAGGATTAGAGAATTGTGCTCTTTTGATATTGTCATAGAGCTTGTCAATGTTCATGATGGCACTAGCTTAGAGAGTAGAGCCTTCAAGATAGGTTGCATAAAGTGATATGGAGAGTTGTTCTTGGATAAAGACAAGTCAGAAATTGTAGGGATTGACTTAAGCATATTGACTATTTCTTTCTTTAGAGTAGACATTCTATTGTTTAGTGAGTGCATCTGGTTTTCCATCCAGTTTTCCTGGGTGGAACTAGATTACTAGATTGAACTGGAATAGGTATTTAGACTAGTGAACCTATCAGCAGGTCAGAATCTTGGTAGTGGTGAAGTATTCAAAGTTCTTATAGTCTGTTATAACATTAATAGAGTCTGCAGAGCCTTTAAGATAGTGGTGCCAATATTTAAAAGCTTCAAAAATAGCTAGAAGCTCTTTGTCATGGGTGTCATAGTTGAGTTTGGCATTGTAGAGATTCTGAGAGTAGAAAGTGATGAGATGAATTTCACCATCTTCAAGATAAATAGAGAGGACAGCTGCAATTGCATAGTCAGAGACATTGGTCTCCACTATTCATCAATTGGAGACTTAGTGGGTAAGAATGGGAGTATGTGTAAAGATCTGTTTCAACTCATTAAAGGCAGCTATGCATTTATCATCAAATTTTCATGGAATTTCTTTGTGGGTGAGTTATGTAAGAGGAATAACAATATCACTATATTTGTATATGAAGTGGCAGTAGAAGTTAGCAAAGCCAAGAAAAGATTGAATGTTCTTGACTTTTCATAGTACTGGCCAGTCAACAATAGCCTTGAATTTTTCTTCAAATATATAAAGTCCTTCAGGTGATAGAATATAGTCTAAGTATTCTATAGAGTTCTGATTGAATTTGCATTTGAAGTCTT